ATAGTTTAACTTTTAATCAAGTAAGTATTTAATTGAAGTTAGTTTAAATTTATAACTGATTACTAATTTATTTGTCTAATTAGGATGATAACTTGGAATATACTGCTAGATTTCTTGAAGACGATTATCAGAAAGGCCGCATTTTATTCTTATCAATGCTTAAATTAGTTGAAACTCAAAACATTGGTGAAATTTGGCAAATTAGATTATTCAGTAATCCAACACCTTATAGTGAACAATATATTATAGTTCTGGATAATGGGACTCATTTATGTTCTTGTATGTCACTTATTGCCAAAGGTTTTTTTGTCAGTACTTCTTTTCTGTTCTGGTCGTCTCCTTACTTATTAAGTTTGAAGTACAAATGATACCTCGACGATGGTTTACAAATCCTGCAAATGTAATTTAACAACCAATTACTATTAATATTACAAATACTGTAACAGATATACAGAAGATACAAAATGATGAATCAAGCAATGGCTTTTCTATTATTGAACAGATTAGAAAACCAAACTGTTTTAATAATGAAGTTCAATGATATATGGGGGGAAGTCAATAGAAAAGGGACAAATTTTTTCTAAGTAAAAGTTTTCTTAACTTTAAATTTAAATATCTCAACAACTATCTAATCAAATTTGATAAAATTTTTTTTATTTTAATTCTATATAATTTCAAGATTAAAATAAAAAAATTTTTATCAAATTTGATTAGATAGTTGTTAAGATATTTTAATTTAAAAATTAAAAAAATTTTACTAAAAATGATTTGTCCCTTTTCTATTGACTTCCCCCCATATATATATATATATATAATGCTTTATTATTCTTACAAATATAATTGCTATAAAAAAATTAAATATATAGTATATAATATTTAATTATAGAAATATTTTATAGCACTATAGTGCCACAGCACTAGAGCATTATAGCCAATTAAAATTGAAGATCAGGTATAATATATAGATCAGCTTTGTGTAACAAAAACAAAGAATTTTTTAAAAAATCAATTATATCTCAAAATTTTGTTTATGAAACCACCTTTTGATCTCTAACAAAAAAATTCCTTGCACAATTTTACTTTAGTTTTTGTTTAACCTCAACATTAAGATTTCACTCTTACTCTAATATTAAAAAAAACAAAATTTTTACTTTAAAAAATCAATTTACATATGGGACCACCTGCAGAAAAAAGAGGCATTGAGACAATCATGTGATTTTGAGAAAATCACAATTTAAAATCGTCACATGATTATTTTTAATATAGGAATAACGAAGACAAATTTTAAAATAATACACTTTTTATTAGT